CTTTGGCTTTTCACTTGTTATCCTATGCTTCTCTTGTTCTATAGCTCTAGCTAAGAATCAAGGAGTGCATTGAGTGGAAAAACTGGACACCCTAGTCTTGTTTGAATTCTGTGCAAATGCTTTAGCTGTTTCCTAATATTGGCTATAGGCTAACCAACTACAAGCTTCATTATTTTGAGTTATATTTCTATTCTGAGTTTCTTGAGGACTTTATTGTAAGGACACATTTAATCTTCTCAGAGAGCCTTTTCTGCATCTATTGAGATGACTGTGTGATTTCTGCCTTTGAATCCACTTATATAACATTAAATGATTGACTTATACAGAACCATGCCCATATTCATCTCATCCTGGTTTAATTTTGTTAGGTCATATGCATCTAGAAATCCAGTCATTTCTTGAGATGTTGCTAGTGACCCTGCTTGGACACCTCTTGAGTGAGGGAGTGAGGAGACTCAGGCACTGGGAGTCAGTGAGTAGCAGGGTATGCTGAAGACTCATTTATTAAGGAAGTTAGGCCTGCTTTTATACCCCCTCCCAAGGTCCTATTGGCTCAGGTTGGCTGACTCTGTTGCCTTGTCCTTTCCTCACTGGTGTCTCTGGACATAGAGGCAGGCTCATGCAGGCTGGCCTGGGCACCTGGGGCTTGGTGCTGTTTCTCCTACAAGATTTTCCAGTTTCATGGAATACATCTTCAAGGTGTACTTACGATTTTCTCAGTTTCATTGGTGTCTTATCTAATGGCTCTCTGTTCAGCTCTAATTTTAGCAATTTGGGTTCTCTTTGCCCTTTCCCCAGATTTGTCTAAGGGGTTGTCATCCTTGCTTATCTTTAACTAATATGTCCTAGTTTCACCCTCTTGCTGTGATAAAGCACTCTGACCAAAAGCAACTTGGGAGAAAAAGAGTTTATTTCACCTTGAACTCATAACTCACAACCTGTCATTGAGGGAAGTCACGGTGGGAAATCAAACAGAAACTATGAGGAAGAGATAGTAATTGCTGTCTTGCTCTCTAGTTCACACTTTAGCTTATTCTCAGCCCAATATCACCTGCCCAGGGATGGTCATGCACAGTGGGCAAGGTCATCCCACATCAGATTTTAGTAACTAAGAGTAAGGTATGGGTAGGAAGTAGGGTTGGTACAGAGGTGGGAAAAGTAGCTGGGAAGAAAAATTTGGGGCAATGTAAGTTACAAGTCAGTAGATACAGTTTAAGGATTAGGTTGTAGTTTGTTTTTTTTTAATGTGTGTATGCCTGTGTGAGTTTGTGTGCAGCACTTGAGTACAGATGTCATGAAGGTCAGCAATATAATATAACTCTCAATGGTTATAAAGGAAAAGGGGGGGGAGGTGACTCCATGGTTAAAAGTATTTGTTGCTCTTGCAGAGGACCTAGGCTTGGTTCCCAGCACCCACATAACCACTAACAAGTATCTGGCATTCAACTTCTAGAGAATGATGCACTCTTCTGGCCTTTGCTGGCACCATGCATGTGGTAGAGACAAACATGCAGGCAGAAAACTTAAATATAAGATATTTCTCTTTAAGTACGGAAGAAGAGGGGTTAAGTATAAAGGAGGAAATTCCATGCAAGTATGAGGAGATAAGATGTAGGTGAAAGTGGGGTAGGGTGTCCCATGGTGAAAAGATACTTAGAGCAGTCCTAGAACCTAAAAAAGCAATGTGAAATCAAAAGCATGAGACACATGCTCAAGAATAGATTGAATGACAGAATTCTTAAACTATTTATGGAATGAAGTTGCTGACACAGCTACAGAGTTGAAAAACAGTTCTCAGATACTTCCTGGTGCTGTATGGGAGGGGGGTAAATGGAAACATTGGGCTCTGTAGCCTATGTTCCAGGTAGTTCTGGCAAGTGGGGGAGAAGGATTTGTAAGTCCTTTCCTGATAGTTCCATCACAACTCCATTTTAATGTCTTCAGACCCTGGAGGTCTCATGTATGCAGAGCAGTACTTCCCATGCAGTTTCTATTGCTCTCCAGGCCTTGATTTTGCCTCTTTCCTGCAGAGATCTTCACAGGCTTAATAACTTTATTTCTAGACCCCGCCTCTTGTAGGAAAGGACACTGATGTCTATTTTCTTGAGCTTCAGTGGTCAGGCTTGTAGGTTGCCATGTTACCCAGAAGTCCCAGAGTTACATTATGATAGGAATGAACATCGTGACTGGACAGTGGGACACTATGATGGATACAGTGGAGAATTGTGATCAGTACAAAGAATTGTGATCACACAATGGAGCACTGTGATCAGAACAGGAATGTGACAGGATACTGGAGCAATTTGATAGAACATAACATTTTGATGCGATAGGAGGACATCGTGACAGGGCAGGTAAGCACTGTGATGGAATACAATAGAACAGTGATACACTGTGATAGGAAAAATAGAGATTTTGAGGGGACACAAGAGTGTTGTGATGGGACAAAAGAAAATATGATGGGGCAAAGAAACATTGTGATAGAACATGAGTGTTGAGGTTGATACAGTAGTTGAGACCAATTTAACATTGTGGTAAGACAATGAACAATTGTGATGAGTACAGAGGTGCATTGTGAGAGAAAAATGGACCAAATAGGATATACAAATATTGTGATTGGAAAGCTGAGAAATGCAATGTAATAAAGGATTGATGAGAACTGAAACTGAGGTGGGTAGGTGGACATTTATTGAGCACTGCAATAGAAAAGAGAAGCATTGTGACTGAACAGCAAAACATTGACAGAACAGTAACAACAGAGGAGTGTAATGACACTGTAGCACTGTAATATGACAGAGAGCATTGGGGTAGGAGAGAAGCTTTGTGACAATACTTGTAAATGTATGGCAAAGGAAAAAAAAATACCGATCAGATGATTGGCCAGTAGAACATTGTGACGGACAAAGAAGCATGTTCATGGAACAGTAAAGTGTTATAGTGGGACAGGAGAGGACTGATATGAAAATATCAGCCAGACATGCTGGCACACAACTTCAATCCTAGCACTAAGGAGGTGTGGAAGTTTGAGGCCACAATATTGAGGTCTCCTTATCAAGTTCCAGACTACCCAGGACTACATATTGAAACACATTTCACAAGCAAAAGAAAAATGAGACACTGATAAGATTATGAAGCATGGCAACAGATGAAAGAGCACTAACTGAACAATAGCCTACTGTTAAGAGAACAATGGGAACTGTGATGAAATAAAGAGTAGTGTGATATCACAATGGTACATAGTGATAGCACAGAAAAGTATAGTGGCAAACAAAAATGGATGAGCATTGTATTATCACAATATAGCATTGGTATAGGGCAATGAAGTACTACTATTTAGGAGTACTAGAGCATTATGATGGGACAGTGGACACGAGACATGACAGTGGAACCTGGGGATAAAGCAGAGGAACACTGTGCTGAAACAGTGGAGTACTGTCACAGTGCCGTACAGTTCTGTGGTGGGAACAGTAGAATGTTGTGATCAAACAATTGAGCACTTTGACTGATACACTGGTAAACAATAGGAAAATGACACTTTGAAGAATAGAGGAGCACCATGACTGGACTACAAAGCAGTGTGATAGACCAATGGAGGATTGAGATGGCAGAGTGAAGAAAAGAATGTTATAAAAGAAAATTGTGAAAACAGATAAACATTATGATGGGCACAGAGGAACTCTGGAATGGAATAGAGAAGCACTGTGGTGGGACAGAGAAGGTATGGGATGGGACAGTGGATCACTATGTATACAACTGGGGTACTGTATTGGGACATATGATCACTGTTAAGGGCACAGCTTAGTATTTTGTTTATCACTGTGGAATGTGTACTTAGAAGACAGAATGTGTTGCCTCACACTTAACTTCTCTCATTGAGCAAAGCATACAATTTTAGGCCTTTGAAATACTCCCTTAGCCCAGACCTAACAGGACTCTTACCACAGTGGCTATTGACCTAGGGAGTCCTAAGGAAAGTGTACTTCTAAGATACTAAATTTCGATACAACATGACTCATTATAAACATCTTGAGCACCAAACAAACAAAAAACACTGTCAGTTTTCTGAATTTTCCAACCTAACACACTTCTTTTCATTTCTAATCATAAGAAAGGTGTCTTAGTTAGGGTTTTCTTGCTGTGAAGAGATACCATAACCAAGGCAAGTCTTACAAAGGAAAACATTTAATTAAGGTTGGCTTACAGTTTCAGAGGATTACACCATTATTGTCATGGAAGGAAGCATGGTAGCATGTAGGTAGACATGGTGCTGAAGGAGCTCAGAGCTCAGAGTTCCACATTCAGGTCAGCAGACAGCAGGAAACAAAATGTCACACTAGACCTGGCTTGAGCATTTGAGATTTCAAAGCCTGCCCCCTAGTGACACACTTCTCCAACAAAGCCACACTTACTCCAACAAGGCCACCTCCTAATAGTGTCATTCTCTATGGTCCTATGGGGGCCATTTTTACTCAAACTACCACAAAAGATCTGTTTGGAAGACAGAATGTGTTGCTGCTTCAAACTAACATTTAACTATATTCTAAACCTAATCTCAATTTCTTACCCTAATGCTAACTCTATTGCCAACCTTAATGCTCACTATAACACCTAACATTCCAAATCCTAAACACTAGTCCTATTCTCAATCCTACTCCATACAACTACCACTATCACTACCCTAAACTCAACTAATAACCTAACTCTGATCCCAACCCAAGCCCTAATGATACAGAAAACTGTACCTCATGTTTAACATTAACCTTAACCATATCCCAAACATTAATCCATAATGCAAAAACCAAATCCTAAAACTTAAACCACTAACTTTAGTACCCAATCTCTAGCTGTACCACAATGACTTATCTTAATCCATAATAAAAACTTTAACCCTTACCTGAAACCTAAATCTCTACTCCTCTAAACTTAACCCTAATCTTTAATCTTAACTCTAACACTCTCTATGTTATGACCTACAAACAGAACAAAACAATACCCAGGTGTCAACATGACAGAAGCAAACTTTTATTTGGCAGCTCTCCAGTGTGTGAAATCAGCTTCTGGCTATATTGCTTCTTTTTACACACGTAAAACATCTTTAAAAAGAAATCTATTTAAAAACCATTCTTTAGCAAATACAACCTCAGCATTTATTAAAAATGAAAGCATGTTTTCATACTATTTGAGATACGTATTTTTAATCAAGTATTAAATCTTACCTGACTGTGGCACTCACCTTTAATTCCAACAATCAGGAGGCAGAGGCAGGTGAATCTCTGAATTCAAGGCCAGCCTGGTTTACACACTGAGTTCCAGCCAGTCAAGGCTACACAGTGAGACCTTGTTACCACGTCTGCCCCCCCCAAAAAAACCTTAGCTGATTATCTGAGAATGCAAAATATAGAGAACCAATATTTTCCAGGGTTGAATCATCAATGCTGAGTACCCTTCATATAAATTAGTACAAAATGGAGAAAGTACATTTAGGACCATTTCAGAAACTATTGGATAATCCCAAATCAAAATCCACTAAGCAATCTTTATAAAATAGATTTCAGTAAATTAGCAAGCAATTTTTAAAAACTCATGTTTTTAAACACAATGTAATCCAAAGGTATACTAACTTCTTACTTGCAAACTGATATGTGACTAGGAAAGTAGAAAAGTATTAAAAAAATTTAATTTTGCAAAGTGAAAAAGTTATGAGCTAATTCACTAAGGACAATATTTTATAGATAATAAAAATCTAAGTGTACAGTATTTATAGTTAATAGTAGTAATATTGGTATATAGTAATGTCCTAACATTCACATTCACTAAACTACAACTCACTACAACCCAGAGCAACATCTATTCCTTAATACTCCATTCACAATATGGGGCCTTCTTAAGTGTAGCTTTTATATCATTATCCTTTCATATATTTACATCAAATATTTTCAGTTTCCTAAATAAGTACTGTTAACCCTGTATAAAACAAGCCGTAAAATAATATACTGCATGTTTGGAGTAGTGTGTGGTAGATTATACTGTATTTGTGATACTTGATAGTATCATCTTTACAAGATCTATAATCATCTGGGAGATAAGGTTCTGGGCTTGCCTGTAAGGGATTTAAGATGAGACAGGAAGACTCACTCTGAAGGAGACGGTACTATTCCCTGGGTTTGGGTTCCAGACTGTATAAAGGGAGAAAGCTAAGAAGCCATGAGTAGTCCTCACTTTTTGCTTGACTGTGGACAGTGTGACATGCTCCATCAAGCTCCTCCTGCTGTGACTTCTGTGCCAAGTCAGACTGTGACACAGCTCAACCTCTGAACCAAAAGAAACTCCTCCTAGCTTGTTTTGTTGGAATATTTTATCATAGCATTGGGGCAAGTAACAACACAATAATCTTCAGTTATGAAATTGTCTGATAATGTATATATCACAAACCACCTCTACTATTGGAAGACTATACTTAAGAATTTTCATGTCAATGTATGCCTCTCTAAAAGAAACGGCAACTCATTCTTTTGGGACATTCTCATACTTTTGCTAAGAGTACTGCAAATTGAACTTACAGTTTCACAAGTACCCAGCAAGTATTCTACCAAGTATGAACAACATACCCAGTATTCTTCCACTTTTGATTGCAAAATAGGGCTTAAACTGCTTAAACAAGTCCTGAACTTGTAATTCTCTTCCATCAGCCACGTAAGTAGCCAATACTACAGGGTGGCACCACGCCCTTCTATTAAACACAAATTCCTGGTAAACACAATATATTTATAACCTACACAACATTATATTCATGTTATAAAAATCTGAACATTGTAGGTTAATTTGCATCAAGATTCCAATATACTTAAGATTTACTTCCAATAATCTTCATAATTTTGACTGTTCAAAGTTTACAAACTTTACTTTCCAAACTTGTTCCAAAAAAACATCCATTCTTATAAGAGCTACTCTTGTTTGCATTATCATGTATTCAAGAGTACATATGAAAATTAGATAACCTCACATTATATTCATTCCTAAGGTGCTCTACCAGAGATGTTCAAGTTTTCAAATGGAATTGAAAAAAAAAATTTTTTTTGGCTTCATTTTTGAGACAGGGTTTCTATGTGTAGCCCTGGCCAGCCTGGAACTCAGAGATCTGCCTGCCTCTGCTTCCCCAGCACTGGATTAAAGGCATTTACACCAGGCCCGACTGGGAACTGAACATCTTAACACATATGATTGATAGGTCTTTCTCCAGTATTGATTAAAAAAACAAAACAAAAACATTAACAACAAAACTCTGAAGCTTTCACCACTTGTTTTATACTACCAGATTTTCTTCCTAGGAGTATTTTCAAACATTACAAGGAAATTAGAACATCTAAGTTTTTGCACACAGTTCAGATTCATGTTGCCTTCTCCCCAGCATGAGTTTTTCCATGTCTTTGAAAGGACCGGTGACATCTAAAGGCCTTACCACACTGTTCACACTCATATGGTTTTTCCTGACTATGAGTTCTTTCATGCCTTTGAAGGGAGCTGTGACATCTGAAAGTTTTGTCACACTGTTTACACTCAAAGGGCTTTTCTCCAGTATGGATTCTTTCATGTACTTGAAGAGAAGGGAAACGCCAGAAGGCTTTACCACAATGTTGACATTCATAAGGTTTTTCCTCAGAATGAGTTCGTTCATGTAATCGAAGGGAGCTCTGAACTCTGAAGGCCTTACCACACTGTTTACATTCATAAGGTTTTTCTCCAGTATGCGTTCTTTCATGTCTTTGAAGAAAAGAGGGATAAATGAAGGTTTTACCACATACCTTACATTCATAGCGTTTCTCTGCAGAATGAGACCTTTCATGCATTTGAAGTAAATATCGAGAAACAAAGGTCTTGCCACACTGCTTACATTCACAGGGATTTCCTTCAGCTTTCTTTATTTCATGTATATTACTAAGACTGAAAACTTGCCCGAGTTGTTTGCATTCATAGGGTTTCTCATGCCTGTGAGACATTTCATGCACTCGAAGACTACTGAGAACTGTGAAGGTTTTCCCACACTGTTTACATTCATGTGACTTCTCTCCAGTATGAATTCTTTCATGTAGCTGAAGGGAACTTGCACAATCAAGAATTTTACCACACTGCTGACATGTATAAGTTTTTTCTTCAGTCAGAGCCTTTTCAGGTACTTGGAAATAACTTAATTTTCTGATGGTTTTATCAAATTGTAGACATGCATGGGGCTTTTCTCTAGTATGAGTTAGTTCATGGAACTGAAGGGCACTGGGACAACTTAGACTTTTATCACACTGCTTACACGTATACAGTCTTTCTTCAGTGTGAGTTCTTTTATGTATGTGAATGTAAGTGAGACTTCTAAACGCTTTCCCACAGTGTTTACATTCATAGGGTTTCTCAGTAGTGTGAGATCTTAAATGCCTCTCAAGTAGACAAGGAAAAATGAAGGACTGACCACACTGTTTACATGCATATTTGCATGCATAGTGTTTTTCTCCTTTATGAATCTTTTCATGTCTTTCCAGGGAAGAGGGATAAAAAAAGGCTTTACTACATTTCTTACATTTATAGGGCTTTTCTACAATATGAGATCTTTCATGCACTTGGAAGGTACTCCAATCTCTGAAGATTTTACTACATTGCTTACATTCAAAGAGCTTTTCCTCAGTGTGAGCTCTTTCATGTCTTTGAAGGTAAGGAAAACATAGAAATGCTTTACTACATATCTTACATTTATAAGGTTTCTCTACAGTATGAGCCCTTGTATGCGATCGAAGGAAACTGTGACTTCTGAAGGTTTCACCACACTGTTTACACTTATAGGGTTTTCCCCAAGTATGAGTTCTTTTGTGTGTTTGAAGAAAAGGGGAACAAAGAAAGGCCTTATTGCATAGCTTACATTTATATGGTTTCTCTCCAGTGTGAAATCTTCCGTGTGTCTGAAGCAAATAAGGATAAGTGAAGGATTTACCACACAGATTACATGTATAAGGTTTTTCCCCAGGATGAGCTACTTTATGTCTTTGAAGGGAACAGTGACTTCTGAAAGCTTTACCACACTGTTTGCAGTCATAACATTTTTCACCATTGTGAGATCTTTCATGCATTCGAAGGTAACTTTGACATTTGAACGCTTTACCACACTGTTTGCATATATAAAGTTTTTCTGCATTATGAATCCTTTCATGAAAACGAAGAGAGCTGGGAGAACAGAGGGTTTTTCCACATTGTTTACATTCAAGAGGGTTTTCTTCAATATGAAAAATTTCATGCAATTGAAGATAATTGTAACATCTGAAGGCTTTCCCACATTGTTTACATTCATAGGGTTTCCCTCCAATATGAGTTAATTTGTGTAATCGAAATGAACTTTGATGTCTAAAGAATTTTCCACAATGTTCACATTCGTAGGGTCTTTCTCCAGTATGAACTCTTTGAAGGGAACTAGAAGAACTCAGAGCTTTACCACATGGCATACATTCATAACATTTGTCTTCAGTGTTGGTTCTTCCATCTACAGAAAATGAACAGGGGCAAATGAAGGCCATTCCACATTTCTTACAGAACTTTTCACCACTGTGACTTTGTTGCTGTATTCCAAATGAACCTGGAAAACAAAAATATCTTTAAAATATTCATTTTCATAAGGTACCTATGTATCATTGAATATCTGTGAGTTCAAGGTTTCCCTATTGTTTGCGTTTATATTGCTTCTTACCATATTTGTGTTCAGATGATTTGTCCCCCAAGTGAGACATGATGTGCTCCTTAAAGGATGAATGACAAGTGAAAACTTTTTCACACACACCACATTCGAATAGTTTTATTCCAGTGGAAATGTTTGCAATACTATGGAGATTTCGGATCCAGATATAGGTTTCTTGAAACTGACCACCTTCTTTATGCTCATTGATTGCATCTACCATGTAACTTCTGTAAAAAAATAAATAAATAAAAAATAAAGTATAAACATGTTAGCAATGGCTGCTTCACTAATGACTGCTTACTAACAGGTGCTAGACTTACACTATTCATAAAAATCAGTGTATACTTTTGCCACCTGAATAGTTTCAAACAAAATGAACTGATGATTCTACAATATGCTCATAAATAGCTACTATCAAAACAGCCCCCACAGACTGAAGAGACAGCTCATTGGTTAAGAGAACTAACTGGCTGCTCTTCCAGAGGTCCTGAGTTCAATTCCCAGCACCCAGGTGGTGACTTACAACTGCCTATATAACTGTAGTCCCATGGGATCCAAAGCCTTCTTTTGGTATGCAGACATATGTGCAGACAAAACAGACATATACATGAAATACATAAAGAAATCATATATATGTATGTGTGTTGTCTAAATATTGTTTCCAAGTAAACTGTTTTTTCAAATACGTACACTGAAATATGTATTTTGGGGAAATTTTTCTAGTAAGCCAATTTTAAAGTTTTGGCTTTTATTTTCCTTTTTAATTTAAAATTTCACTACTACTTATTTTATATGCATGGGCGTTTTGTATATGTATATCTGTTCACCATATTGGATGCCCTGGAAGTAATAGATGGTGGTGAGATTCAGGTAAGTGTGGGGACTAGAATCTGGGTCCTCCATTGCTCTTAAACACTACACCATCCCTCCAGCTCCTTTTGCTTTTGTTTGTAAGTTTTCATAACACATTAAGAGTTTTTCAAGGAAAACTTTCTCCTACCTGTATATGCAAATTACCTTAGGTATCTCCAAGAATGTTTGTACTGCTCTTCAATATTCTTATCTTCCCATTTGATGCCTACAATGTAGACCCAGAAAAGTCACATATTATTAGAAAGTACCAAAAAATGAATTTCTGGGTTTGATGTACATATGACCCATGCCTGTTTATTCACTGATTTCTCCCCCTTCCAAATTTCAAATCATAGAACCAAGGAACACTTGTTCTTTGGCAAAATAAATGGTGTCATTCTTACCTAAGGAAGTAAGGTTAATGCAAGTTTCCAACATCACATCTCTGTACAGCTTCTTCTGAGATGGATCTAGCAAAATCCATTCTTCCTGGCTGAACTTCACTGCCACATCCTCAAAGGCCAAAAAATCCTAAAACATCCCGAATATATACAGAAAAGAACAGATGAAACTAACAGACCTAGAGATTTATACTCAATTGATAAGATGTCCATATAATTTTGTGGTATTCAGGAATTTATTCAATCAAACTGAAATTCCAGTGCTAGCCCTGAGACATTGAGAAAGGAGACAGCAACAGAGAGTTCTAGATCAGCCAAGCCTACACTATGAGACTCTGACTCCACAGGGAGGGGGTGGGAAGATTAAAGAAAAAAGAAACAGCAGAGTAGGAACACTCCTCATTACAGTGCCTGGAAGTTGAATGTGCTAGGTCACTCTATTTCTTTTCTAGCACCTGCAATAGCATAGTTCTGACAAATGATGTACCAAAGAGAGCTAACATTAGCAGTCAAGATGTTATTTTTACTTATATATTTCTTCATACAAAGTGTGGACTTTTCTGGTATTGGGGAACCTAAGATTATGGGAGACATCCCACTAACATAAATGATAACAACACATCTCTTATTCTAAATGACTTAGATAAACACAAAAATTTTCTGAACATTAGCTTTCTGAATGTTCTATACATACATAAGTACCAAGAGAATCAGCCCCAGATCCCAATGAGTTCATGCACATTGTCATTTGCTAAGTGGGGAAATTAAGTCCATCCTGTGTGATTACATCTAGAGAAAACATTTAGAAGTCTCAAAGTTAATTTATACCATCCAGAAATTACCCTAGCAAGAATGATTGACAGCCCTAACAAAAACATTAACATGAAACAATTAGATGGCATGTGTTTTTACAAAGAATGCAATGTAGGCAGATATGTCTACATGTGCTTACAATCCCAGCTACTTGAGAGACCAGTATATAGGATCACCTGCATCAAGGAGTTCAAAGCCAGCCTGTACTCTATATCAAGGCTCCCATCTCAGGGGGAATGGAGGTAGTGAACCATGAGAGGGAGGGGGAAGAGAAGTGTCACCAAAATGTCACCTCTTCTGGATTATACCTTTATAAAATCACATGAAATTAAAAAACCCACTCATCAGTAGTCACCAATAATTAATTTTCCAACTTTCTCCTAATCCAAGTGTTTTGCAATTGTCAGTCTTCTAAACAGTAACATGATGGCTTGCCTTACATTAACCAAAGACTTTCAAACTATTCTGTAGACACAAAAGGCCAAAAATAAAAGCAAATCTCAACATTTTGGAGATTTAGTGGCACTTTATAAAATGGCCAGGTTAAAACACAAACTGCAAAATTTACTATTCCACAAGATAAAGTATTCATATATCTGCCCAGATATGGACCACATCATAGAAAACTAAATCACTTTCTATTAAGAACTCCTTCACCCTCTCAGCTAGGCAACTCCCTCTTTGGGCTTACTGCTTAAGTATTTCAATAAATTCTTTGTACATGTCTTCGATAATCCTTTTGATTGCCTGTTATTGGCCTTTCTTATGCTGTTTCGTCCAGCTTACGACGAAACAAAGGCTTACAAAGGAACTCTCCTTCATACCTCTGGTGCTTGTGGTGGCCAGCTAAAGGTATTTGATTTAGGAGACTCTCAAACAAGGTCCAAAAGCTTTTTTAGTTAAAGCCCACACTACTGTCTCCCATCACAGAACAAGCTAAGGAAGTTCTTTGGGGCCTGTGCAGAAAGATATGCTTCCCACTCACAACTGATGGACACAGGCCAAAGGAATTCTTTGTTAGTATCTTAAGGTAATGGGAGGTGGTGGGTTGATGGGAGACAGCTAACTGTAGTCTACAATTCTAAGGGACTTCATTTCTCTTATTCTGAAAACTGCCCCTCTCTCTCCACCTGTAAGTCTCCTATGACTCTTCTAACTAACCCAGATATACTCCCCCCTTCACAAATTCACCCAGGAGTTTGACACAGAGAACTCAGGAAGCAAGTAAAAGACACACTCTGACCCTCAGAAAATATTCTCTGTATTGCATGTGGTGGTGCATACCTTTAATCCCAGTACTAAAGAAGCAGAGCTAGGCCCAACTCTGAATGCAAGACCTCTTCTCAAAAACCCAATCTATATACTGTTTGTGAGGTGGCTAGCAGGGACCTCAGCACAATCTAGACACATGTCTCTTTCTCCATCTGATCTGCCCCAAATCTAACAACTATGACCATTTTGTCCAAAATTCCCCTCTATCTTCATTAAGGAATTCAAGGGCTAATGGTAGTCTTTTAACCTAATCTGGCCAATATATTAATAACAGTTTTAAATATTTATTTTTATGAGTGTTTGCCTATACTTATATCTGTGCACCATATGCATGCCTGGTGGCCATGGAGACCATAACTGGGCACTAGATCCTCTTGAACTGGAGTTATAGATGGTTATGAGACTCCATGTGAGCGCTGGCAATGAAACCCAAGTCTTCTGGAAGAACAGTCAATGCTCCTAACTGAAGAGCCATCTCTCCAGTGCCTATTTATATCATTCTAACCACTTGCTATATGCATACAAAGAGGTTCCATACCTAAACTTTAGCAGGCACCTGAGTTGACAAGAGCCAGTCTTAACCCTGATAACAGAGAAGACATGTTCCTTTACAGTACTTGACAGGAAACTCAAATGATTATATCAGAACTCCTATGTGGGAAACAGTGGAGGAAAGGACCCTTGGAATACATGATTCCCTGTGTTCTAGAAAGAGAAAAGCTGCTATCAACCCCATTAACAATGAGGAACTGTTCAAGAACCTTACACTTCTTCATTTTAATACAGGCTGGCTGAAATTATGCACCAATACACTAACCTAGATTTGTAAGAACCAAGAGGGCCAAAGGCAACCTACCTGTAAATTTTATAAAACATCTTCAGATATTAGATAAAAGTTCCAAAAACTTTTATCAGAACAGGGACAGTAAACTCCTCTCCTATTTTCTACACAGATACAGCCTTCAAGGCTTTATTTAATATTTAAGAAGACTCAAGAAAAGCCAAATCAGGAGACTAAAGGGATTGCTGTGGCAACTTCCCATTTGCTAACCATTTCAGAAGTCACAGCATTTCAGCTGTTAATCACAGCATTTCAGCTGTGAGAGCACAAAGTAACTCAGCTATAATAAATCCCCTATGGGACTATCAAAATTGCAAACTGGAAGACCATTAGAATCCTAACTGCCCCCACCCGCAAGAGAGTTTTCCTTGGGATTCTATGTATGAACTTCAGATGATCCAAGATATGGCAAGGGCTGTGACTATACTACCAACATAGGAGCTACACCCTCCTCCCTGTTACCTTTCTGATTTAACATTCCTGTCCTCAATCTTTCTCCCTAGCACTAACGGCAAACTCCAAGCAGCACAGCTGAAACCTTTTAACATGTATGATAAACTCCAAGCAGCACAGTTGAAACGTCTTAACATGTATGATAAACACTTCTTTATTCACTCCTTCTGGTTCTACCCAGCTGCCTGATTCTCTTCCTAGGTAGGGATATTGCATCCAACTTCCATTCCCATTTAGGACATCTGAAGGGTCCCGGGACCTTAAAATACTCATAACACCAATCCTCTCCCTATAAACATTCAGGAATGTTTCAGAAAGCCCCAAACATCCTCCCTTATCTCTACTATATATCCTGCATCTCCTAAGTTCCCCTTCAAGCGTAAGGCACATCTAGCCCCAGATGCTCACTAACAGCCACTTCTGTCACAACAGTTATGAAAGACTATAACAACTTTCCTCAAAGGCCTAATTGAAACCTAAAACTTACATTGAAAACTAAAACCTAAAAGGGTTTAGAGCTTCTTATTGATATTTGTACCTCTTTGCCATAACAAAAACAAACTAACAAAAAAACCCTTTCTTCCTTGAAATGTTCATAAAAGAATAGCCTCCTTTAGTGCATAGATGATTTATTAACCTCTAACAGACCTTTTACCTCACATTAAACACGACTATAACTCATCAGAGACTAGTCTCATATGGACATTAAGATTTCCCCTTCAAAGTTGCAAATTCTCATGGGAATGATTTTATAGTCGGTAGGCACAAGGCAGCTTCCCAGACATGACAGATAACCTAACTATGGAGTTTCCAACCTCAAAAGAATTAAGGCCCTATGGCTATGTGCTATCTCTCTACAATGAAAGCTTTCCTACCCACAGACGCTCAGAAGCCTACTCCTATGAGACCCTTGGAGATTTCTACCTCCTCTTCCATCAAGGCCTAAGGTAAAACACACCCTCAGATACCTGCAGCCCCCAATGTCTTTCCTTCTACCTTTCTGGGTTCTATACGTGCAAAAGCCCTACTTTCTTACTCCCTTGTTGTCATTTCAGGGAATTTACCCTAAATCTGTTCCTTCAGGGAACTTTAAACTATGCTACAACTAAGGCCATCACCTGCCTTCAATTATGATGCCCATCTTACTCCTTTATCCATTATCTCTGAGCTCCTGTACCTACTGTTCTTCCCATCTTTCCAGTTGCTACTGTCATATTCTTTAGCTCTCTTTGTAAATGTCATGCTGTGGTGCCACTTTTAACCATATGACTTTTGTTACAGACACAGATAAAAGGCTGAAAGCATATACCTGATGTCACTAACTCTTAGAGGGATGACTCTTTTGGGAGACTTATATCTGGCTTACCTAATTCCTGCTTATAGGTTATTGTTGGGTTATGGATAGCAAGGCCCAGGAGACTTAGTGCTGGCTTTCCTAATTCCAAAAAGGCCTTTGCTTCACTTTCTGATACTACAGAAACTTTCCAGACCGTAGGTCTTTAGGCTCCAGATGCTACCGTCTGAAAAAGAACCACCATAGCATGCATGTGGGTATTAAGACAATCTTCAGGGCTGCGCCTTGCTTCCCAACTCTGAGGCAGGATCTCCCATTTTTGTTACTGCACTATTCCAGGCCAGCTTCGAGTGGATTCTCCTGTCTCAACCTACCATCTCACCATATGTGGATTGGGATTCTAAACATGTGCCACAACATCTGGTGCTTCTGTGGGTCCCAGGGCTAGTTAGTACTC